TACGCTGCGCTTTCTAGCATGCTAAATAACCTACTAACCATTTGTGCCAGAGCTCCCCAGTGATGACGCCTGGGAATGGGAATGAACGGTTAAGACTGGAAAATCACATTTATCTTTGTCTAAACTTATACACGCATGTTATCATCGCTGGATATGGAGAATAACATTTTTCACTGATGTATAATATTATGTAAATTTGTAGTATAACATTATATGTAACAATGTGTGGATAACTGTTTAATCGTATTGTATTTGAAAAATTAATAAAAAGTTCGAATGAAGTATGGCGACGTGAGGTTGTAGTGGAACAAAATACATGAGAAAGAGAAACATGAAACATGGGCGATCGTGGAATCAGTCAGTTAAATCAAAAGTTGCTGCTTAACTTGGCAAAAGTACTGTAAAACTAGCACTAACAAATTTCTGCAAAGACTTCGTTGATATAACATACACATAATACAGAAACACGTAACATATATAATAATGAGGCAAAAGTAAAACATGTTGAAGAGGAGGCGGATTGAATAGAAAACGAATGAAGATCCATACGAAAGGATCGATTCGAGCAAATGCCGCCATTCTCGTTCTTCATTCTGCAGAGTCCAAGCCATTTGTAGGATTACAGATGATCTGTATGCTTTAGTCCTCACACAGAGTTGGACATATTGGAATCTTGTGGGATGAGACGTTGATGTGCATTTTAGAAGAACTTGGTGCAGAGGATGGGGACGATCGGTTGGAATAGATTTACCTTGCTGTACCATAGATGTTACAGTCCGACGTTTACGGCATTCACATAGGACAGCAGATGTGTTTTTCCGACAATTTTCAGAACCGATCGAAATTTCCGTATGTTCACTTTACAACGGAATAAGAAGTATACTGAAGCATATATGATTAGAGGACGGAAGTGTTATGTTCTAAAAAGCAGTTTTCTGATTTTTGGGGTTTTTAATTAAGTTTGGCGTTTCAAAACATAGCTACACCGTCACATGTTGATAAGTACCCTTTCTGCGCGTGTACTGAAGTGTAGACTTTCACTTATGGTCTTGACAACAAAATGGTTTGTGATGAGAACTTTGTTGGTTCAGCAGCAAAATAGAGAGGACGAGACAGTTAGTTAATCAATTACCGTAACGTTGCATAACCCGCAATAAACATTCTCTGATTTTATTATGATTAATGAGTGTCATTATCTTTTTATCAGTCCTGAATACTTTGTGAGGTTATCTACTAAAGTAAGTGCACACAGAACCAAGGTAACGGACATATTTTATGCATTTATTTGGAGAGGACTTTGCATTCATTAGTGCATGTTGTGAATTGAAACAGAGGTAGCACCGATCCTTCCAGAATTCTTGAGTTATTTTGTACGGTACACGATTTGCGTCTGTACAGACTGAGTGTGGCCGGAGAGTTAATTGGCTAAGCAGCCGAGGGAACAAAGAATTGGTAAAAGCTTTTCACGGTGTTAGTATAAACTGTTGAAGTGATGGTGATGCACGGTGTTAAATGAACTGCTTAGTCCAGAAACCGTCGCCATGGAACAGAGTCACTGTAGAACTGACCAATGAAGGCAGGCATATGATGGGGTATGAACTTATCTACGTATCGTAGCTACCGTATCATTGTTCGGCTTTTTCTGTCTTATCATTTATCTTTTCATCTCCGTCTATGGGCAGTTATGATTAAGGCGACCGTCTGTTTGTTTCTTTGTGTCTCTAATCATTGAGGTGGCAATTTACTGAAGAAGA